AGGTGGGAGATGTCAAACGTGACGATGAGGTGGGAGATGTCAAACGTGACGATGAGGTGGGAGATGTCAAACGTGACAATGAGGTGGGAGATGTCAAACGTGACGATGAGGTGGGAGATGTCAAACGTGACGATGATGTGGGAGATGTCAAACGTGACGATGATGTAGGAGATGTCAAACGTGACGATGATGTAGGAGATGTCAAACGTGACGATGAGGTGGGAGATGTCAAACGTGACGATGAGGTGGGAGATGTCAAACGTGATGGTAAGGTGGAAGATGTCAAAAATGATGGTTTGGGGGAACCTGACCCGTCTGAAAAATCATGACCCGGGTAAACCCGCGGGTCACCCGGATGGATAATTCTTATAAAATTCTATCTTTCTTCTATAATAATTATAATATGAAATTGATAAAATATTGATGAATTGCACAAGAACTATATTAAAACTGATTTATAACATGCCAGTATAATATAATACATAACTTTTTTTAAACAACTCAAGCGTCTATATGTCGGGAAATGCCAACAATGCTATTGTTAAGTTTAATAAATTAGCGAATTCAAATTCTATTTATTGGTTTTTCGGTATTTTCTCGAAATTTATAATCAACCTTGCTCGTATTCGTATTTTATATTCATTCATTTTCCTTTCGGAACTTTTCGGAATCCCTTTAGCCTATCCCATATTTCCCATATTCTATATTTCAGTATTTAAACTAAATTTTAGTGCAATAAAATTTTATAATTTCTCTTGCACATCATTTTTTGTGTTCAAATTTAATTGCACACTTTGTACATATATATTTAGAACTTCTCTTGCACAAAAAAAAACTACTTGCACATCATGTGCAACCCTGATTATAGCAATCTGATTATGATCTACAAATATGTTTTGATTTAATTAGTTGACCGACCACCCCAGCATGACGGTGAGGGAAAAACTGAGAAACTTGACAGTGTGACGAAATTGAGACACTTGACGGTGGGTGGAAACTGAGAAACTTGACAGTGGGACGAAAATTGAAACTTGACGGTGAGACGAAAATTGAGACACTTGACGATGGGGTGAAAACTGAAAAACTTGACGAAGTTGAGACACCTGGCGGTGGAGTGAAAACTGAGAAACTTGCCGGTGAAACGAAAATTGAGACGGGTGGAAACTGAGAAACGTGATGGTGAGAAGAAAATTGAAACACTTAACGGTGGGGTGGAAATTGAGAAAACTGACAAACCTGTCGATAAAATGGAAACTGATAAAAATGACAGTGAAGTGAGAGTTGACAATAGTGATCCAGCCAATAACGAAAAGTCTAATTTTCGGCTTAGTCGGTTTTTTTTTTCTTTCGGTTAATCGATTTTTTGTAATAATAATTACATAAGTTTTTTAATAATTACAAAGGTTTTTTTTTTTTTTTTTATAAGGGAGGGTCGGGTCAGTGTCTGAAATTGAGTTGCGGAGTCTGCGGATCGCAATAAAATTTTAAATTCCCGCAACTAAAATCTGAAGTACATATGCAAATTCCGCATATAAATTTGCAAATTTTACCTATAAATTTCGATTAAATGTTCATGTGCGCAACTAAATTTTA